CTGGAATCTCTACATGCTTGTATGTACGTCTATGTGCAAATTTGAGCTTATATAAATCAGTAATCAGTAATTGGTGTAATGAACATATTGGATAATATTTTGAAGAAAAAAAATGTAACACACTATTATATTTTGATTTCGTTTAATTTTTGGAACTTGTGATAATAAAGAAGTAACTAACCTTTTCCCGACGGATTTAAGCATTGTTGATATCATCTTTCAACGACCCCAAATAATACTACCGATAGATGATACCATTAGAGTCGAAAAGTTGCTAGATATCGAATATATTGTAAACATTACTTGAAATTAGATGAATAAATGGAAAAGTTGAAATTTAGTGATGTTTATGTGTTTGTAAGCAGAATGAGAAAGTTGTGTACTCCAGAGTGGTTTTTACTCCCGCAAAAAAACACGTTGTCCTTATTCGGGAAAAAACGCCTATTTACCCATTAACAGTGATTAGAAATCCGCGGTCGAAGGCGGATTGGAACTTGTGCTTTTGCGGTCAAAAGGAGAAGTTGCGTTCCAATCTGTTTGCGGCGGCGACACGTTTTCGCTGTTTGCCTCTGACGTGGTGAAGAGGTGCCACTGGCACCTTCCAAATTGTCAATCCACCTACATCGTATTAATGCAACGGGTAAAATTATTGGCCCTACAGAATTCCCTCGGTTCCTTGGAATACTTTTTATAATAGAATGTCTTTTGCATAATGGTATTTAGCAGCAACTACCTAAAAAACGGCTCTTCTTGGATTAATCAATCTGCATTTTAAATGTGTGAAATTATAGTAAAACTATTTCAAAAAATAACCTTTGTGAAGTTAAAGTACAAAATGTCATGATTTTAAACATGTAAAGTGTATATTTTGCCTTAATATATGTAGATGCACCTTTTTTTTTCAAATAGAAAATATCTTGTCTGCATGATTTAAAGATATTACACAATTTTATTACGAAAGACATTTACGTTTTAATCTAATCCTCTTACAAGAAATTGTTGCGGATGGATTACTGGAACAGGTGATGCGCGGATTTCGAAATCGGTTATGCGAAAGTGATAATATTAATAACAGGATTAACATAATAGTAGCAAATTGATATTACATCCGTTAATATAAAGGCCAGCTTTTAATCTTCTTCGTACAACTTGTATGTTCGACAATTTTCAAAACATTACTCAACATTTACAAATCAACGTCCGGCGAAAATGTGGAGGGCGAATAAGCGGACCAGGGTCTCGGGGGTGATCAATTTCCGACTCAAAGTTATGCACATTTTGATGCATTAAACCATCTTCGTTACGACATGTTAAATTCAATATTAATTAATTAAGCTAAAAATCCATTTTGTACAAAATCTTAAGGGTTATGTACTGTGTCATACAAGAGGATTAAGATTATGATGATTCCTTAATCTAGAATAGCAGAAATTTTGAGGTATTTTAGCTAATTTTACAACATACGACTTGAACAGAAATTCATTTAATCTTTATCCATAATTATTGATTTTACACGATACTGCCAAGTTCATTAGATTTAATGTAACTTTTTAAGGATTGTAGCACCGTTTCAACAGCAAAAAATAGTTCGGAAGAAAAATAATAACATTATTTTTCTTAAAACACTGCATTGTATTTCCAAAAGCAAATTATATTGCAACATAAAAGAAGTCAATTTTAACGTTCCGAAAATTTCCCTGAAATTTTCTCTAAACTAGATTCAGCTTGATAATAAACTAATAACTGATACATTTTGAAGACATTTTGTGGTTTTGCTAAAATAAAAACAGTTGACCACGAAAAAAACCTCTCTTGAAATACACAAATTTCAAAGAATTACTTTTAAGGGGCGTCGGTGGCCGCAACGGTTTAGGCGTTGACCGGCGCTCAACACTGTAAGGTCCCGGGTTCGAATGCAGGGCCTTACAAATGAGCTTTTTTTCAAAAACACCGGCACCCTGAGGTTTTATATGACCTCCGCTGTTGTGAACCCTAGTAACGAAAAATTACTTTTGAATTATCTCAAGTTAAAGTACTAATACGATAATGTAGGGAATAATAAGATATGTAAATTATCCTAGCCGAATTTTTTTTTCACTTTGGATATAAATACTGATCAGCATTATAACATAAAAAGGATAAATTTAGCTATTTATTAAGGATGTTTGACATTGGAATGACCTTAATCGAGAGTTCATCTTTGCCGGCTGATTTTTTTTAACCTTTCAAAATTTATTCTTTTATTTCTTTCATTTTGTAAATAAAAACTCTTCAAAATATTCCTCCGGGAGGGATGAACCAGGACGAGTGTCGGATAATCCGCCGTTTTATACTCTTTATTTTTTGTTTTATTACCTTTTTACGTACCAACATAAAATGTCCAGTTTGAATAGTGACAGAAAAATGATTTGATGTTTTCTGCTCACTTGCTAAAGAGAGTCAATTTTAATTTTAATGTATCGTAGATATTAAACGTTTTGCAGCACATGTGACGATTTTGCCCTTGGAATTAATAAGTTTTAAGTAGTTGCTATTTTACGAATTGTTTTATATTAAGTAATTAATCTATTAAATAAAAATTGGAAATTGAAAAAATTATAAAAAAACGAAATAAAGAATATAAAATAATTAATTAAATATCAAAAATTTAATTACAATATGTAATTTGATATGCATATTTACAGCTATTTTCATATTTACACTGAGGGGTGGAAATTATCAATACTATTCTCCTACTTCACGTCACTAAATAAACTTCACTGTAATGTAAAATAATTAAATGATTTCAAAAACATTCCCAAATGCAGGATCTACAAAATATATGTATTTAATAGCGTATTTTCTGAGATTTTCTTTATGCTATCTAAAAAAAAGATTGATGAATTTAAAAAATTCATCAACATTAGGCTAGTAATGTTAGTAACATTTAAATGCAAATTTATTTTTCTTATAATTATGCTTGCTGTAAAAAATCTCTATCTATTTAACTATTAATTTATCATATATCCATTACCATCCATCAATTTACCGATTACCAATCACCATTTTTATCACATCAATTTCCACTTCTCTTTGTAAAATTAAATAAATAAACGATTTACCCTGCGTAATATCTGTTTCGTCATTTAGTATACGAGTAGAAAATAAGATTTAAGTCTAACACATGTATTTATCGTATACGTTGAACTATCGAATTAGAATCACACGAAGAAAACGTTTTTCGTAAAGAACGAGTGGCAATAAAAAGTTAATTAAAATTTAATTAAATGTTCACTTGACGTTTCAACTGTTGGCTACAATTTAATATAGCCTTGCAAGTTATTTGCCCTTGCCTAATTGGCATCCTTTTCTCTATTTAATTATTATAGAATACTTACATGAACACCTTGTAAAAATGATTTCAAACGTTATATACAAGCCCACCGCGGTACCTAAATCTAAAAAAGTCTTTATCAGTACTGACTCGCCCAGCGCTTTCTTTGCCATCCATGATATGTTCTCTGTGGATCCATTAATCCATGAAATTCACGAAATTTTATTTTAAAAACTAAGAAATGAAATAATTTTATCTTGGATCCGGGACACGTTGGCTAGACGGAAATGAGCAGCAAAGACGCGGATGTGAAAAATTATCTTAAAAATCAATGTGTAGAGATTAGTGACCGTTAATCGATAGTTATTCAGATATCGTGAGATGCGGTCGGGTGTGATGTAGGTTTGAGAAAAACATTTTCTTTATCGTGCCAACGTTTCGATCTTTTATTGAGATCATCGTCAGGGCCACGGATTTACAAACAATGTTTACATTTAACAATTATACTTAGGATGAGAAAAAGTGAATTTATACAATGCAAAATATATTTTATATTCAAACAAAATATATTTTGCATTGTATAAATTCACTTTTCCACATGATGAAGATGATCTCAATAAAAGATCGAAACGTTGGCACGATAAAGAAAATGTTTTTCTGAAACCTACATCATACCCGACCGCATCTCACGATATCTGAATAATTAAAAATCAATCCTGGACTGAGTGCCACAAGGACTGGACCACTATGACCGAAAAAATACGTGAAATAAAACCGTCGGTCAAATCGTGGACCATGGAAGGAATGGGAAAAAAGAAAGAATCACATTGACTCGCCTGCGGATAAGCCACTCCAGACCGACACAGAGAAATACCACGGAGAAGCCCTTTGAGGGGCACATAAGTATTTACAAAGCACATATTAACAGAGTGCTAGGAAATGGCGACGCAAAGAATAAGCAGTGAAAAACAACTAAAAAAGACACAGTAGAGGTTGTTTGAATTATTGTGAAAATCGCCGAGCGCTTAAGCGTAGGTTTATTCCGTTCATATTATGCTGTATGAGTGGGGACTCAGCAGTATATCGAGAACTCTTGAGAACCGCCAAAATGAAGTTAGACAATCTTTTAAATAGCATTAATTTTAATCTTTAAGTGACTTAGGACATGTTAATCGTAGAAGGGATAAACATCAAAGATAGACGTAATAAAACAAATGCGAGATAGACTAAAAGCGAGGAGCCGACAATAGTCTGCTAGCCTGCTGAATTTTTTTATTAGTGGTAGCAGGGAAAAGTGGATAATGTTGAAAATTGCAACTTTTGGGAAATCTAGTTTCAAGGTTTGAAGTTTTCCCAACATAGAGTGGTATATAAAATTTCAATACCATAGAGCTGATAGCTTCCTAAAGATATTTTGTTATTGTTTCAAATACTTATCTCCATTTTCACTATTTTCGAGTTAACCCACTTTTCACAGCAACCAACCATACTCCGTTTTGAAATTTTCATCAGGACTTTTTTTGTTTTGTTTGTCGCAGAACAAAAAAAAAATGTTTTTCAACAGGTGAATAGTTCGTTCTGAAAACTCTGGCTATTTTTATTTCATGTGTTATTCTTGAACTTTTAAAAAACGTGTGATTTAAGGTCATAAGCAGATTGCAACAGCAAGATAAGTTGAAGTACTTACTCGTAGGTCGCTTGGTTCAACTTTGAGGCTTTGGCAAATGAAGTCGAGATTTATATACCTATCCTGCAACCCCTCGCTCATGCGCTCCCACACCGAAACAGTTAATCTCTTTATAATAATAATACGATTTAAATTTTTTTAATAATATTCTTTTAGATTATTTTATTGCCAGAAAATCCTTAAGGTGTTTTCAGAAATTCATGCATCCTCGTTGTATTACGACTTCAGGCTTAAGCGAAAACGTCGAGGAAAAACTACTTTTTCAATAATATGTATGTTAAATATATTTTATTAATAGTTTTTAATTTTTTATTATTGTACTTTAGCGAGTGACGTACTTAATTATAGCAATATTAAGATAAAGTTAATTCATTAAAATTTCCTATTAAAAACAATAAGATAGTTTTTATTTAGTTGTCTGAACTTAATAACTTAATAAACACTGAAGATGCCGAAATGCCGAAACCTGTGTGGCAGACTAGCCTAGCTAGTATAGGCAGATCAAAAGCGCATTTTTTTTTAACTGCAGCCATTTGAGCGTCTCGATCTGGTTAATGACTCTGCTTCTCGCTTGTAACTCTGGTATTACAGAAAAGAACATACAATACACATATGTATATTATGATATACACACATATAATATGATTTACATCACCACAGTACTCGATATTCCGCGGGGCGGGTTAAGCAACCTCTTTCTTTCAAGCAAAAAATTACTTTCGTTTCAATAAATGAATATAAACACAAGACAAACATACACAAACACTAAATACATTTAAAATAGCTATAGCTCAGAGATACCGAAACAGCGAGCGGTGCCCGCTGCTCCAAGTCTATGACAGGTCCGATGACATGCCAAAATATTGCACATACACGTCAAACCTTCTATATTTAGAAAGGTCCTCGGACCGTTATTCTATCCGTGCATAACGGGCAGGTCGCTTTCCGGCAAGAAAGTTCCAGTGCGTTATTCTTGTATGGTCAATGCGTAGTCTAGGCAATATGGCGTTTTCCCTTTTCAACCCGTTCTCCGAGGCCTAGGAACCGTCTTTCTTAACCTGCCACAGTCAACTTAATAATGTTTGAACATTTACAATGAACTTCAATCATTATATTATTGACAATGCTTTTTAAATAATTATAAAATTATTTATATTTTTTCAATGTATACAGAAGTCCATAACGTCAATGCAAGGAGGAACGTTTGGAAATAATTTGTTTGGCCGATTCATTAAAATTTATCTACTTACATAGATTTGTGACTCCGACCACACAGTTGAAGCGATTGAAATTTTGATATTTAATATAATTATAATTCTTGAAAAAATAATCTCGGTTTATTCTGTTTAGCGGTGCTTTGACCATCAAAGGTCGCTACGTAGCCTACAGCGATTTGCTTTAGTCATCATTTATTACTCTGAAAGTACTTTTTCCTAATAAATTCATTTACTCGTACAAAAACAAATACTTGGTCTCTATTCGTTTACCCATTTACCTCGTCAAATTTGTAATTTTGAAGTAATTTAAAGTGAATTTTGTGAGCGAAAACATCGTTAAAAAAGTTTTATTGTTGTTACTCGTGAAACAATGAAACCTTTCGCAGTAGACCCGTTCATATTTGTAGTTTCTCATTTTATATAAACTGTCAATGCTTGAAATGCTTCTTTTCATAAATATTCGGTTGAAAAAAATTATACTACTAATATGCTGTCGTGGGGAAGGTCAATTGAAACTCAATGAAATGCAGCTCCAATTATTAATGCTGTTTTCTTTTTTAATGGGGAAGGCACCAATAAATCAACAATATAAAACGTTATGCGGTATCTATCAATTAAACATCAGTAAGCGAGGGTAGCAGATAATGTTATCAAGTTTATTTAAGAAAGAAAATCCGACGATTATTAACACAAAACCGAAATAATCCATTGGCCAAAAGTAGTTTCCTAATTGGTAGAAATAGGTGCCACTTAGACTTCGTTATGAACACGTTAAACCACAAGAATGTAAAATACTGATTTTGCTTTCGAACTAAAATAAGAATATCATAGGAAATTGTATGTCGAGTCACACAAATCAATCGTGCCCAGTAATTAAGTTAAGTAATTAAGTTAAAATTTCCATAACTCCAATCGGCCATTTTAAGTGCGAAATTCACCCAAGAAGATAAGGCAATACACTTGTTTGGATTTGAGAATAACCTGTTGATTCCTGAGAATTACCGTAAAGTCCATTTAAATTCTCTCTGGAGTGGAATCGGTCTGCAATCACTGGTGTGTAAAAATATAAACCTTTTCCTCCAAGGTAAAAGAAATTCTTAGATTTCGTTTGGGACTCGGGAAAAATCGTTGGACTCGAAATGGATCTTGCTGCCGATCATATGAAATTATCTATGTATATATGAAACAAGGTTCGAAGATCCAAATTCTTCAATTCGCGCTTTATTCCCTTCGTAAAAATCCTTTTCAGAAGAATAGTAGCGAGTTTTATTATTGGCAATAATGAACAACCCCGGTCTTTCTTTCAGATCAATCTGGTATTACATGTTAGTAATAAAGTCTCAATGTAGCAATGGAATTGATAACGATAACATAAGAGAAAAATAATTTCTCATTCAAATACATATAACTTTGCTCGCATTTTAAAATTTATTTAATAAAGACGAGCAGTTTGATGATAAATGCTCTGCAATTTCATATGGTTTCAGATATGTCGGTAGTTTAGTGGACCAAGACCATACAGGCCAAGACGATCGAGCTATGTGTTAAATATTATCTCATTTAAATTAATTCTATAATTTTTCATATATATCGTCTATCTAAACGTATGTTTTTGTAGAAAAGTTGCATCAGTGCAATTTCAAATTGCAATTAAATGCTATTAAAACTTGCGTTTTTTCTAACTGAAACTTTGATCAAACAGTACATATTTATTAGTATGTTGTAAATTAAATAACTTCACTTTTCTGCTTGTGACGAGGAAACATTTATGACTTACAACAATTACAACTTTGTGTTTAATTTTTATTTAGAAATCGTGAGATGCGGTCTGGTGTGATGTAGGTTTCAGAAAAACATTTTCTTTATCGTGCCAACGTTTCGATCTTTTATTGAGATCATCTNACAAAATAAAGCTGTAATTGGTTATTAACCATTCAAAAAATTGTTGATACTATAAAATAATGTAAAAGTTAAAAGACAACATTGTAAAAAAATTATGAAAAAATCAGTATTATAATTAAGAATGTTGTTAAAATAAAAGAAATGGAGCTAAAATAATTCACAAACACTCTTGATCAAGGTATGGTCGTGAAGAAAAAAAGCAAATTCAGTTGTTACTGCCAAGCTTTGGAAATGTTCTAAGGCCATCATCAGGGCCTATATTAAGTTCTCATTACGAAAACCATATTTGTACAATTGATTTAACAATTGTTTTTCCTTCAAAAAAAAAGCTAACGTGTTTCAAAATTGGATTGGGATGAGGTTGTACGTTTTTATAGGGGCATGTGAATCGACTTCTCCCGTTTCAAGGACATTTTGGTGTTGGAGGTATCTGCTGATAGCAAAGTTTGGTACAAAATTAGTGAGCTTGGGCAATCGTTCGTAGGATTTTGGACTGGAGTTATTGGATCTTTGTAGGTGGGATCGCTTAGTCGAATCTCACAATTCGATGGAAAGTTGTTTTCTTGAGATAGTTTCACTAATTCTTTAAAGTGCTTTGAAAGGAATTCATTTATCAGTTAAGGTGAAAGACAAACGCTTCAGTTCTCTTCACCAGATGTGCGCTGTTGATCCCAAATTGAGAGATACATCAGATAGAACAATGTCATCATTCCAGTATATGTTGAACTTGAAATGGAATGGCGACTGTTCGAATGCACCGTAGTGCTGCAGTTGTTCACAAACATCATTATTATGTAAATTTCTTATGTGAACACGAACAATGTCGGGCAACCCGGTTTCCATCGAACGATTTCTACGTTTTCTGAATTTCGTAATTTTAATTGAGTTTATTATCATTTATACATTGATTTAATAAGCACTCCGACGTTTTTTCTTTACAAATTAAATGAGTCTATCGAAACAACATTTAATTAAGGCGATAACGCCCTGATTGCTTTCTATTCAAAATCTTTTTCACAATATTTTAAGTCTTTTATGATTATTGCGACAGAAAAGGCACAAACACCAACGTATAATATATAAAATCTAAATAATACCTAACTATTACAAAATGGTTCCATGCTATAAAATATCATAAAAAAGTAGAAGTAATTTCTGTTTTGTTTAGATAAATAAAATAATAAATTAGTAACGGTTTGAAAGGAGTTTTCATATCTATGTGTGTAAATACTGGCGAACTGGTGTTACAATCCAGGTAGATAATTAACGATAAATACCCTGAATGGGATCTCCCAGGTGATCTAATACCTATAAGCTTTGGCTAATCACCATTATTCCTTATCACACAATAATTTAGGGGACTTGAAATTCACAATGCTCTTCTCATTCATCAGACTTTCACCTTCCACTAAATAATAACATAAGTAACGGAAAGAAGAATAAAATATCATTTTGATTTATTCTATATTTTAGCAAATAACTATATATTAAGAAAACGATGGTTTTTAATTACATTTATTTGATATTTACAACTAGAAATATTGTATTAAATAAATATGTTCATACAATAAACGCTGAATTTGTTATTTAAGTCTCGTGTAGGAGAATATTCCCTGAGACAACACTCCTTCATACTAAAACCTCGTCAATCTTTAACCAATGAGATGGTCTCGAGGGCACTTTCACTTCAATCGTCTTGGAGGATTTTTGGGTAAGGTTGGAAGTGATACTGTCGTACTAATAGACGATTGTGGATGTTCATTGATCGATGAAATTTTTTATAGCGGGTATTTTTTGGTACGGTCGTGTACAAAGAGGATGTGTAGGTCGTTATGAATAGTGTAACTGGAAGAATAAAAAGGAGCATTTATAATTTGACAAATAATTAATAGACCGAAT